AGATGTGTTTTTTTTTTTTTTTTCCATTTCAAGTATTTCAGTTACCTGGGAATTTACCTTAGTGAAAACTCCCATTGTCTGTGAGTATTGAGTGTGAAGGAGACTTTATTCTAATTCACTTTACAAGGAAGTTTTAAGGACCTGTATTTATACCTCCTTTGCAGTGTGGAACAATACTCTCAGACAGGGAGAGAGCCAGTTCGGGTTCTGTGAATCTGAGCCAAGAGAGAATTTTAATTATCTCAGAGGAACCCAACCTGAGTAATTCCTTGACGTCACTCAGTGAGTTTGTCCATCTCTCAGAATGACCAGCTTGGGTCTGGGCCATTATTGCTTTGCTCATTCTCTGGCAGGCACAGACAACTCTAAAAATATTCTCTAGAAGGGACTTCTGCAGGTTAGATGTTGGTATCTCTATTTCTCTGGGGTTTGGGGGGAGGTAGCCTGCAGGCAGGTGCCTGTGATGGGGAGTGGGAATCAGCTGAGGGAGAATGCCCAGTGGATTGAATCTAATTCAAGGGCTCTGTGAAACTGTATCTCTACCCTTTGGCCAGTCTTCTTGTTGGTTTGGCACAAGAGAAAGCGGTGTGAAGATTATGTTTGTAGTATAAACTCTAGTAGGGTAGGGAAAGACATTAAGAAGCAAAGATCCTAGAAAAACTCAAGGCTTTGAGCTAGAGGTTGCCTCTGTTTGCAGTTACAAGATGGGCTGAAAGTAGGAGTGATTGCAAGCCTTTAAAAGGAGTAGTTGGACCCAGGATTTCCTTTCAAATCCTATGCAGTTAGATGACTATCCCTCCTGGGTCCCAGAAAAGACTGGAGGATTACCACAATGGACAGCGAGACTCTTCCTTCCATCCTTATACATCAGTTTATACTCCACTCCCACCTCCATACTGCTATCCCCTACTCCCAGGAGATTCGAGAATCCTCCTGGGGAAAACAAGTAGCCAAAAGAAGACTCATAGCTACTTATAGTTTAGGGTTCTCCCCAGTAAAATAGCAAGGTCACTTCCCATCTGATCACTCTATATTCTGGCCTGTCAGTGGACAACTCTGCCATGCACATCTTCTGATTAACTCTTTATTGCCTCCCTCTTAAATATAAATCAGCAGCCACGGAGAACTAGAAATGTGAGGATGGCCTCTAATATGAAAAGAACAAAACAATTACCCTATATTTAATAGCCTCAGAGAGGGCAGGATAAGATGCTGAACCCCTTAAATAATAATGAGAGGCCATAAAAAGTAACATAAAAGCTTTTAGAAATTAAAAATATGCTCAAAAGAATTGTAAAAACATATACATTTGAAAACATCCTCCCTGAAAGTTGAACCAAAAAAAAAAAAAAAAAAAAAAAAAAAAAAAAACGAAAAAAAAAGAGAGAGCGAGTGAGAAGAAAATTATCAATGAAACAAAGCTCGAAAATTTTCCAGAAGTGAAGGACAGGAATAAAAACATTCCACATCAAGACACATCATCATGAACTTTTAGAACACTGGTGAGAAGAGATAAAGAAATCATATAACAACAACAGCATCAACAAAAATAAAACAAAAAGAAAGAAAGAAAAAATAAAAACAAATTTCTCAACAGTCGTACTGGAAATAGAAGACAAATGAGAATATTTTCAAAATTCTGAGTAAAAATGATTTCCAACCTAGAATTCTTCCCAGAAAAGATAGAAAGAAAAGTGAGAGAGTAAAGCATATATGAGTAAAAATAGGATTCAGGAAAAGAGATAAATAAGCGATGGGCAGAAAGAAAATTAAGCAAATGAAAAGAGAGGAATGCCTAATTGAAAATAAAATATATATGTAATGAAATGTAATTAAAGTACACTATGTGGCTCAGCCAGGAATAATATGTATATGGTCTTAACAATGTAAACCCTAAATATCTATTCAACAAACAAATAGGTGATGCTATTATATTGAGAAGTTGTGATTTGGGTAGGATGGGTCTATTTGGGGGAGAGGTGACATATAGGGCTCTTGTCAAGTACTTCCCTGATGCATAAGCACCAGAGGGCAGGCGTTTTGTTTTGTTCACTCTGAATTCTTAGTGAGTAAAACTATGCCTGGCACATAGTAGGTCCTCAATAAATACATGTTGAATAAATAAAACTTTTTCCTAAGGAACATGTCTTCTAGAAAATTTGTAAAGAAAGCAGAAAGTAAGCTAAAATAGATACAAAGAAACTTCAAAAGCTATAGTATGTGGAGTCTGTTTCTTTCTAAAATTTTAGGACTTCCATCTTCAAAATTTAAAAGTAATGATATAAAATATTTAAACTGAATATCAAAATATTTAAGAGACAATTTAATAGCCAGATATTCCTAGGAAACTATTCTCTGTAAGTCCTTATGGTAGTTAGGTTGGTTGGAGATGCCTTGAAGCTCAGAACAGTTCCAGAGAAATGAAGATGCAATTTTCTCAATTTAGAAAGCAGATTATTTTATTGACTTTTGCTTCCATTCACTCACTAATATTATACAAGGATGAGCTGAGGAAAACTGACTTGTTTTGCTTCTCAAGCTGAAGGTCTCCCAAAGATTAGAAGCTATCAGTACTCCCTCTTAGATTTCAAAAAGTTTTCACCAGGATACTGATTACTTTTATTAAATAAAAGAGGTGCCTCTTTGGATGAGCAATCTGCTCTTCCATCTAATGGATCAAAATTGGGTCATTCAGCACATGCCTGTGGAGCAGAGGGCGCAGCAGTGGTTTGTGCCCCTGCGTTGCAGTAGGGCCATCTGTCCATCTGTCCCAACACTTCAGAAAAGTCCTAGTGACACAGACTGGGTCTCAGGAGAAGGTGCTAGCTTTTTAGGTTCAAATTCCCTCAAAGTAATATTTGGGGGCTTCGTGGGAGGCCAAACGTCAATCAGGACTCCTCTTGTGCTCCCCCCTCCCGCTCACGGATGGGGCAGTGGCTGGGGAAGAGGCAGTGTAGAGGGCAGAGTCCCAGCTAGCGCCTCCCAACTTTGCCTTTCCTCTCCGCAGTCCCGCTCCCAGGCCAGGATGGGGAGAGGGACACGGAAGTCTCCCCTGTATTTGCACGGCTTTGCGAGGAAGGGCCCCCAAGTGAAGGCATCAAATTTGGGCATCAAATTGAACCCAACAATCTAGACGCAGAGAGACCTTCCTGTTATATAGAGATAACCCTTAGAGAGCTGTGGTTTCTGGTGTGGGATCTCGAAGGTCCTGGAAGTTCTGCGCTGCCTTCTATTCTCCCTCAACCACGTAAGGGGGAGGCTGGCTGCCTTCCCAGGAGGAGAGACTGCAGGTCAGCGGGCTTGAATGCACGCTGCGCGCCGGGGTTGCAGGCGGGCGGAGTCGCCTGAGTCTGAGGTCTGGATTCTTTTGAGTTGTTCCTTGGAGTTTCAATTGCTCAGGTGCTGGCGGTCAACCCGTTCTCGTCCCACCAGTTGAGACCTGTCACAGAAATATGACCTGGAGGATCCCCGATCTCAGCCCCCACCGTGAGCTCCTTACTGACCTGCAGAAAGTGAACGACAGCAGCGGAAATCCCGCGAACCCCTGGCTTTGCCTGTTGCTCCCATCCCAGGACTAGGCTTCCCGAACGCGCTCCAGGAGCCCAGGCGCGCAGGGCGAGCCTAAGGCCTGGGGGGTGTGAGTGGCTCATCCTCTCTTTCTCCCCACCAACCCTATCTGCAGCCCGCCCCAAGCCTCTTCTGCCAGAGCTGGGATCTTTCTCCCCAATCCCAGAGCAAGGAGAGCTTGCAGTGCCAACTCCTGGAACCGGTCTTTCCTTAAGAGAAAAGGGAGAGATTTGAGTTCCTGGGTGTGGATGTTCATGTATCGGCGTGCGTGTTTGGGGGACAGTGTGCACCCTTGTGTGTAGAAAACGTGTCTGTTTCTGAAAGCAGAAAACATGCTGAATTGCTTTTGGGTCTGGGCGTGGTTTGGTTTGGGTTCGTGAGCGCGTCCTTTTGCAAGGGGTTGGAGAAGGCGCGTCAGTTCCAGCGGTGCTGGCTGTGTGCAGGAGAGTCTGTGTGAACGCGAAAGGCAGAGCGTGTGGCTGGGGTGCAGGTACATGAATGGTGACGCGCGCACCTGCTGCAGCTGCTCCTCTCCGCAGTGGTCGCGGGACCCCGGCGAGCTCAGCTCTCAGGCGCTTCAGGGAAAAGGGCAGGGTCCTGGAGAGAGACTTAGAGACCTGGGCACAAGCCGTCCTGGCCAGGCAGCTTGGCAAACAGAGGCTAGAGGCGCAGGGCAGCTGTGCAAGCCAAATGGGCGCGGCAGTGGAGGGTCTTGGATTGGGATAGGGGATGATGGATTGGCAGTGGAGAACTCAGGGACACCAGAGGTAGTGGTGTGGCGGTGCTGAGCCCTCTGTGCAGGTAGTGCCAGCTTAACCCCTTCCTCAGTCCTCTCTTCAACTCCTATCCATCCCAGAGGAATGAGGCAGAGGCTTGGCTGCCAGAATGGCAGCAAAAGAATCTTCTTTGGGGGCCTGGAGCCCAGAGCGCCAGGGCGCGAAGAGTTGGGGGACATCCCCACAAGGGACCCCAAGTGGTCCAAAGAGATAAACTTTTCAAGGCTCCTCCCCCTCTCCTGCCACTCCTACCCTGCCATGGGCGATTTCAGCTGAGGTCCCTTTAGAGCCAAGGACTACAGCTCAACCTGGGGGGGGGGGAGCAGGTGGCAGACTCAGTCCCTGATTGGGGTGGCGGAAGGAGGTGAGAGAAGGTCGGGTCCCCTCACAGTAGGTGACGCCAAACTCTCCAGGACTTGCCTCCGCTTTCTGGACGTCGAAGGCTCTCCTCCCTCTCCCAGGCCCTCCCGCTCCTCAAGCAATGACCTCAATGCAAATAACTGTGGGAGCCGACAGCCCCCTCCCCAGGGAACTTGCGCTAGAAGTGTAAGCTATGACGCAATCGGAGCTCGGTCGGTCCTCTCATTGGCTAGTCCTGAACACTTTGGATTGGCCACACGCGCTGGTGGGGACCATCCCCCCTCCTGCTGTCACTGGAATAAGAACCCGGGGCTCCTCGGGGAAGGTGCCCACGGCAGGCGTTGTGTTCAGCCCGGGCGGACCCGCAGCTCGCACTGCTCTGAAACTCGCGTCGCCAGGTGAGGAACTCCCCATTTCGTTCACCCCAATAACCGTCCTCTCCGATTGGTTCCTCCAGTTTGCTCCATCTGCCTGCCTGTCCCTTCTTCGCCTCTCCACCGCCTTCTCGTCCTACCTACAGCGGGTGGTCCTAGCTCTCTTCCCGGTTCAGGAGAGGCGGGCGGTTAGGGCTGTCCTGGCATTTCCTCCTAAGGAGCGCGGGTGGAGCCCGGAGCATCCCCAGCGCTCAGCATGCGCGCCGGAAGCGCAGCGAGCCCAGGTAGGCTGGTCTGCAGCCCTGGCGTGGAAGCCGGCCCTAGGGCAGTATTCTGCCGGACTTTGCTCCTGGAGCGCCTGCGTCCCGCGTGTTCTCAGGGATCATTTTTGGTTCCCGGGATAGCAGAACCCCGAGATTTCCTTTGGGGCGTCTCCAGCCTGCGAGCGCCTCTAGGACATCAGCTGGAATGCGGGCAGTGCTCTTAGCTAACCACTACAGTGAGCTCACCTCGGGGTGCTGGCGCCCAGCACCTGCTGCTAAACTGCGCGCCAGCAGAGCTCCGGCTGTGCTAGTCCTGAGGAGGAACCTGTAACTGGCAGGTTAAAAATTTCCCCAAATCCAAGCCTGAGAGATTAGCGCTCCTTTCCTATCTACCCTTCCTGCCTTTCCCTGCCATGTGTTGGCGCGAAGTCCAGCGGAGGAGAAAGTGAGAAGATAGGCACAATGGGAGGGCAGCCTACAGCGGGGTGACTTGGTTTTCGCATAAATCAGGGCAAAAGGGATGGGTTTGTGTGCATGCACGCGTGGCTTCTCCCTGGCCTTCCACAGAACAGAACCAAAATCCATCCATTCCCCCTCCCCGCAGCGAACTTGTTTCTGCTCCACCAAGCCATTCACTCACTGCAACGTAACTTTTGAGATTCACAGCAGCCCTTCTGGCAAATGAACAGCACAGTGGCTCAGGGACTTGGAGTAACCTGCCTAAGGTCGCATGGCAGTCTTGCAGAGGCAGGTCTAGAACCTGGATATGTAGCCTCGGTGCAGTGGTAACGTCATCCTCCCTTTACAGGGAGGCGTCATGGGCTTCCGGAAGTTCTCCGCCTTCCTGGCTCTCAGTGTCTTGGCTCTGTGCCAGGCCGGCAGTCTCCAGGAGGCGCCATTGAGGTAAGACAGTCTGAACCTGGACTACACGACCCACTGCCCTGGGATCAGACAGCTCTGTGCCTCTGAAGTCACTCCTGGCTCCCGGTGAATCAGCGCCCTTAGGTGGACAATGACCTCGTGCCTTGTCCACTGGGAGTCAGCACAGCCACCTCCTCAGGGGAACAGGCAGGGACCAGGGGAGAGGGTAGGCAAGGACCTGGGGAGAGGGTAGGCAGGAGCTCACAGCCTGCATTGGGTTTGCTTCCTTCCCCAGGTCTGCCCTGGACAGCATCCCAGACCTGGCTACACTCAGTGAGGAGGAAGTGCGCCTCCTGCTGGCTGCACTGTTGCAGAACTATGTGCAGATGAAGGCAGGGGAGCTGGAGCAGGGGCTGGAGACAAAGGCCTCCAGGTAAGGCTCCTCAGGCACCCAGCACAGGCCTCCCTTCCCACGACACTCAGGAAGGCCTAGCCCAGGTAGGAAAGAACACGCTGGCCAGGGTCCAGCAGGCTGTGGTTGTTCACCAGGACCTGGGGCCCAGCTGTTCTCAGAAGTAGGCTGGAGAGACAGTGTGGTTAGATCACATTTTACAAAATCTATTTTTGAAAGCAATTAGGGAAGGTATAGAATCACTCACTGTGGGAATTGGTCTTTGAGTACAGGGGAGGCTTCTCAGCACTGGATGAGTTAGGAGTGGTAAGTGTGAAGCCAGTGGATGGACCTGGCATCTTAGGAGATTTTAGAAATTTCACCGTATATGATGTTCTTTCATATCTACAAGGTGGGTGATTTCACATTTGCAAGGTGAAGGTGAAACCCTTGCACTGGGTGGGGACAGGTAGAGCAGTGTCTGAGGTAGGTCTGGATCTCTAGATGTGCAGCATTGGTGGAGACATGCATGTTGTCACCAGGCCAGGGAGGGCACCCTTCCCTAGCCCCACCTCCCTGTGGTCCCTGAGCCTGAGCAGAGACCAGCCTGGCCCCAGCCTTGCCTGGATAGAGACATGTGTTTCACCTGCATCCAACCCCAAACCCCTCTGCTGAGCATGTAGGACTGACCAGCACGTGGAATGCCAGAAAAGGTCACCCTTCCCCACCCAGCCCTTCCCCACACTGCCCTGGCTCACTGCACCTCTGAGCTCTGCTTATGGAGGATGTCTGAGCTGCCCCCCACCCTGGTCCAATCTTCTGAGTGACTGTCCATGGTGGTGGCCCCTGGTGCATGGTGCCTTCTGGCATATCTTTTCCCTGTAGTCTGGACAGCTCCAGATCTAAGTGGTGCAGTAATCTGAGTACCTACATGCTGGGCATGTAATCACAGGACCTGAACAACTTTCATACGTTCCCTGGCATCAGATTTGGGCCTGAGATGTCTGGCAAGAAAGGGAACATAGCTAGCAGCTTGCAGAGGGACCACTACCCTCACTTGGGGATGCCCAGGATGCCAACTGGACTCCTCCCACTCCTCCTGATTTCTTTTCTGCTCCGATTTTACAAACTCGATGCCTGTAGATTCCTCTCTGATTGCTCTTAAGCTGGTATTGGTAGCTTTGCTTATGACTGAGAATGTTTTAGGGACCTCAGAATGGAAGGAGAGAGAGCAGAACTCACAGACCAGGTTAGATATAAGAAAGCATGAGAGAAGCTTCTTGAGATCCCAGAGGATTTTACAACAGCCGTCCAATTCCTGTTTCTTAATGTACTAAAATAAGCACATCCCTCATGGCCCACCATTTGATGAATAAATCTAATTTTCTAAAAGGACCTGAGCCTGCTCATTCCTCTGGTCCACATCCAGGGATTGAGGGTGTCCAGTGCCTATGTTTAGAAGTAGCCTTGGCTTCAGGACAGCTCAATATAGGGATTAATGGGTGATCTCCATGACCCAGCTCAAGCAGCAAGAACAGTATATTAAGGAGCAGGTAAGTACTTCTGCGAGAGGATTCTGCAAATCCTATTGCCTGAGCTACTTCCAGGGAAGACTTTAGGGGAATTTAATCTTCCCATGCAAAGTGGTTATTTGGGGGCTTGTGGCTGGGGTATGGTCTCTATATACTCATTCTTGGAGTGGGGCTAGACCTTGTTGCCCATCACTTCCTTGAATGATAAGTGTGGCATTTCAGCATGTGCCCATGGATTGGAACTCATTTTTGTTGTTGTTGTTTATTTATTTATTTTTTTGGTGATGATCTTTGGGCAAAACTCCTAGTAAAGGTTGCCAGGCTATTTTTCCTAACAGCTTTGATAACTGCATTTAGGAGAAGCACTTATTGTTAAGTGGTCGGTTGAAGAGCTGCAATTCTCTTTATGTAGGTCCCACGGGACAGACTTCTCTCCCATTTCCCCTACTAGTCTCTCATTCACAGGTCTTCTTCTCTTCTCTCTCTATCCTGCAAATCAGTGTCACTGTCCAGAAGAGAGCCTGCAACACTGCCACCTGTGTGACCCATCGGCTGGCAGACTTGCTGAGCAGATCTGGGGGGATGGTAAAGAACAACTTCTTGCCCACCAATGTGGGTTCCAAGGCCTTCGGCAGGCGCCGCAGGGACCTTCAAGCCTGAGCAGCTATAAATGCCTCCAGGAAGAAGGTGACTGCCCTTGTACTATGGGATGGGAGGGGTAGGGATTTGGAGTTTAAGGTCCACATTTTAAAACCCACTGGCCCTGGTAGGATCTTCAGGCCCCTCTCTCCAATTTCATTCTTCCTCCTAAGGTAGTGGGTTCCTTCCAGAACTGAGTTTGAAATCAGAACACTAGGACAGGCTTCAGAAATGCAGCGTCATTTTTCTGAGAAGATAAATGAAAAGCAATGCTTGCTGGATTCAGAAAGGGAGGGGTCTGCAATTCTTAACCAGGGCCAGTCCTCATTAATGAGAAAGGGCTCAACCCTTGATCAAAGATTCAGACCGGAGAGCTGTAATCGTAACCTACTACCAATGTTAGTAGCTACAGTGGAATTATTTTAATCTTCATTTGCCTTCTAAGCCTGCCTACAATTCATAATTCATAATTCATAAATGCTGTTTAAAGAAGCACTTCTGTAAATTAGTGTTCTTTTCAGTAATAATTGTGATGATTCACTTTGTGTCCTTCTCATACTTCTTTTCCCTCTCTTCCTTTTCTTTTTCATCCCCTCTCATCTTCTTCCTCCTTTCTTTTCCTCCATTTTCTCCTCCTCTTCTTTCTCTTTTGTTTTCTCATCTCAGGTTCCCATGAAACTGCACTCACCACTTCTATTAATTTCTGTTGACAACAACTTGGTGAGAACGCTCCATGGAAGATACTTGTTTGCATCCTAATAGATACGGAAAAAAGCACCTTTGTCACTTGAAAGGAATGAAACTGAATGCAAAATAAGCTAATTCCATATTTATTGTGCATCATTTTTATATTTAATTCTATGTCCAGTAAATGTGATGGCATCTCTCATTGGCTTATCTGGTAGCAAATCGCTTATTTGAGAGCCATCCTGTTGATCATGGCAGCTCTGCCATACCTTAGGGGGACATGAAATCACTGCCTCTTGTGGCCTCTGGGGACACATGGTAATAGTGATGTTGTGCCTTGTTGTCTAAGAACATGACTGTATAATTTGTTTAAGAAAATGTCAATATTGTGCCATTTGTGAATGTCATCAAGATTAAAAACATATTTTGGATACGTTTGTTTCAAGACCCTGGTGGTTCATTTCAACTTGTTTTCCTATGTAATAATAATAATAATAATAAATATTTTTGAATGCTTACTATGGGCCAGATGGTATTTTAAGACAGTGCTTTATAGCTGCAAATTCATTTAATCTTCATGACAAAACTATGAGGTAGATGCTATTATTCTACTTCACAGCTGAGGAAGCAGAGGCAGGGAGAAGTGAAGTCCAAGGTCACGCAGATGGATGGTGGCAGATCCAGGCACTGGTTTCCAGAACTTACAGGTGAAACCAGTGCATTGTGCGCTTTCAACAGTGGCTCGTGGGACCACTGAGCCACTTTGGCCTAGCTATCTGGACATGGTAGACCCTCAGATTTTGGAGTCACATGGAAAATTTTAAACATACAAAAAAGCCTAGTCTTTATATAATATAATGAATTTTTTGTACCCATTACTTGGTTTCAAGAATGATGAGTGGTTAATGTTGTTACATCCATGTACCATCTGCTCCTCTGCCCCCAGTGTATTATTGTATCAATACATTTCACCACGTATTTCTAAATAGGGAGGATTCTTCAAACATAGCCACATCCTATTTAACAACTAAAATAAATGAACAATAATTTCTTAATACTTTAGTATCACATATTAAAGTCATGATTGAATTTCCCAGTTATCATTTTCATATATATATATATATATTATCATATATATGTATATATGTAAATTTAGGGCTCAGAGTGGGTCTTCAGATTTGCTATGGTTTGGATATAGTTTGTTTGGTCCTGCCAAGCTTCCTGTTGAAATTTGATCCCTAGTGATGGAGGTGGGGCCCAGTGGGAGGTGTTTGAGTCACAGGGGCAGATCCCTCTTAAAGGGCTTGGTGCCATTCTCAGGGTACTGAGTTCTTGCTCTATTAGTTCCTGGGAGAGCTGCTTTTTAAAAAAAGCCTGGAACTTTCCCACCCTCCTTGCTTCCTCTCTCACCATGTGATCTCTGCATTCTGGCTCCCCTTCCTCTCCTGCAGCCTGAGGCCCCCACCAGAAGCACATGCTGGCACGTTGCTTCTTGTACAGCCTGCAGAACTGTGAGGCAAATGAACCTCTTCTGTTTATAACTCGCTAGCCTCAGATATTTCTTGATAGCAACACAATGGACTAAGAATATTACTGCTGGTGGATACATTTTAAGCCTCTTCTGATCTCTACCTTTTTTCCTCCTTGCAATTTATCTGTTGGAGAGGCTGGGTTATTTGTCCAATAAAGTTTTCCACAATCTCTATCTCTATGGTGAGGTATCATGTATATCCTGTGAATCAGGGGTCAGACCTAGAGTAATAGGAAGAGGGGAAGGAGATGAGGTCAGAGAGTAGATGGGGAGGACAGATCATGTAGGACTTTGTGGGGCACAGGAAACATTTTGGCTTTTTTATCAGTCAAGTACCAGTCTGGAAAACAGAAACTACATCAGCAATTTTAACAGAAAGAATTTAATTTAAGGAATTGGCTAAATAGGTATTAGAGTAAAAGGCAAAAGAGAACAAGAGGTAGCACAGAGGTAGGAACTGTAGGAAGGAGCCACCATCACAGGGCTAGGGGGACAAGGGCAAGAGGTGGGGTAATTAGAACCTAGAAACTTGGAGTAAGGATTCTCAGACCACTGGGAAGGGAAGTTGGCAGATACTGGTTACCTCTGAGGGGATTCAATAAGGTTAATCTAGGAGCATAGACAACAAAACTGGAAACAACTTCACTGCCAGAGCACAGCAACTCTGTAGGTGATGCTTACAGAACTAGAAATCAATATTGGAAGGAGCTGGTTCCTCTTCCTCATGCCTCTCATCTCCCGTTAGGATTCCTGGTTGGCAGAGCCTAAAGGGAGTCCAGCTGGCAAAGGAAAATATAGTTCACAGAGTACCAGCCTCAGTATTTTATTTTAAACATGTACTTGTAAATGTACATATAGAAAAGTGCACTTTTTGGTGTACAGTTCAATGAGTTTTGACGAATACATTGGCTCATGTAATCACCAGCAAAATAATGACATAAAACAGTTCCATCACTCCCCCAAATTCCTCCATGCTTCCCCTTTGCAGCCAATCCTTCCTTCAGCCCTTACCCTCTGATGACTGTTTTGTTTTCTATCCCTGTAGTTTTGTTTTCTCCAGAATGTCAGGTGCATGTAGTTTTGAGTCTGGCTTCTCTTACTCAGCATACTGCATTTGAGATTTATTCATGTTGTTGCATGTATGAATGATGCGTTTCCTTTTATTACTGAGTAGTAGTACATTGTAAGGGTGGACCACAGTTGATTTATTAATTTATCCATTAAAGGACACTTGGGGTGTTTCCAGTTTGGGGCATTTATGAATAGAAGTTCTGTAAACATTCATGGATAGATTTTTGTGTGAAGATGAGTGTAGTGGGCTGAATGGGGTCCCCAAAACAGATATGTCCATGTCCTAATCAATGGAAACTATGAATGTTATCTTACTTGGATAAAGGGTCTTTGCTGATGTAATTAAGATAAGAATCTTAAAATGAGATCATACTGGGTTGGACAGGTATGTCCTAAATCCAATGATATATCCTTATAAGAGAAACGCAGAGAAGAAGACACACACAGAGGAGATGACATGAAGACAGAGGTAGACAGGCATGAGCCAAGGAAGCCAGCCACTACCAGAAGCCAGAAGAAGCATGAAGAAATTCTCACCTAAGGTCTCTGGAAGTGCAGCCCTGCCAACACTAGATTTTGGACTGCTGGTCTCTAGAACTTTGAGAAAATAAATTTCTGTTGTTTTAAGCCACCAAGTTTGTGGTCATTTGTTCCAGCAGTCCTAGAAACTAATACAACAGATTTTAATTTCTTTTGGGTAAGTACCTTGGAGTGGGATTGCTGGGTTATTTGGCAAGCATATATTTAACTTTATAAGAAACTGTAGTAACTGGGTATTGTGGCTCATGCCTGTAATCCCAGCATCCCTGGAGGATGAGGTGAGAGGATCACTTGAGGCCAGGAGTTTGAGACCAGTCTGTGGAACACAGCCAGACCCCATCTCTAAAACAATGAAAAGAAAATTAGCTGGGAGTAGTGGCATGTGCCTGCAGTCCTAGCTACTCAGGAGGCTGAAGTGGGAGGATAGCTTTAGTACAGGAGTTTAAAGCTGCAGTGAGCTATGATTGTGCCAGTGCACTTCAGCCTGGGTGATAGAACAAGATCCCATTTCTAAGGGAAAAAAAAGAAGGAAAAAAGAAGAAAGAAACTGCCAAACTGCTTTCCAAAGTGGCCATACCATTTTGAATTCCCACAGGCCGTGTGTGAGAGTTCTAGTATTTCCAGAAGAGGATGTGTAGTCGTATCTCATTTCCCTAATGACTAATGCTATTGTACATCTTTTCCTGCACTTATTTGCCATCTGTTTCCATCACTTTTGTTGAAGTGTCTGTTCAAATCTTATGCTAAATTTTTAGTGGGTTGCGTGTTTTATTATTAAGTTTTGAGAGTTCTTTCTATGATGTGGAGGCAAGATTGTTATCACACATGTAATTTGTAAATGTGGATTGATTTTTCATATTCTTAGCAGTGTCTTTCATAGAGAAAAAGTTTTAATTTAGTTGAAGTCCAATTCATCATTTTCTTTCATATGTTATTCATTATTTTCTTTCATATATTATGCTTTTGGTTCATATCTAAGAACTCTCTGCCCAACTCAAGCTCACAAGGTCCCAATGACTTTATCTTATACCTTCTCATTAACGTTTTATAGTTTTATGTTTATATTCTTGTCAGTGATCCATTTTGAGTCAATTTTTGTATGAAGTGATAGGTGTAGGTTGAGATTAATATATGTGCATATGTGTGCCCAATTGTTCTGCCACCATTTGTTGAGAAGACTATTATTTCACTGTTTAATTGCCTTTGTCAAAAATCAATTGATCATATTTGTATGGAAATATTTCTGGGCTGTCCATTCTGTCTCATTGATCTATGTGACTATCCTTTTGCCAGTGAGTCTGGAAACCAGATAGTGTGGGCCCTCCAACATTGTTCATTATTTTTCAAAGTGATTTTTGGTTATTTTAAATTCTTTGTTCTTTCTTATACATTTTAGAATCAGCTTGTTGATATCTATAAAATTTCTGGTGAGATCTTAATTAAGTCAGTAGGTCAATTTAGGGAAGATTAGCATAGTAACAACATTAAATTGTGTTTCCACTTATTTAGGTCTTCTTTGCTTTTTTTATCAGTGTTTTTTAGTTTTCAGCAGAGAGATTCAATATATTAATATTTTGTTAGATTTATAACTATTTTATTTTTTGATGCTAATGTGAATGGTACTTAAAATGTTTTATTATTTCTACTTGTCCATTGTTGGTAGATAGAAATATAATATTTTAAAATACAAACCTTGTATTCTGTGACCTTGCTAAATGCACTTATTCATTCTATGGGCTTTTTTTGTTGTTTCTTTGTGATTTCTCTATGTAGATAGTTATGTTTTCTTTTATGAGAGTCAGTTTTATTTCTTCCATTTTAATCAGCCTATCTTTCATTTCTTTTTCTTAACTTATTACACTGGCTAGAACTTCAAATATGATTTTTTTTTTTTTGAGACAGTCTTGCTCCATTGCCATGGGTAGAGTGCAGTGGCATCATCACAGCTCACTGCAACCTCAAACTCCTAGGCTCAAATGATCCTACTGCTTCAGCCTCCCGAGTAGGTGGGACTATAGGCATGTGCCACCATGCCCAGCTAATTTTTTCTATCTTTGATAGAAATGGGGTCCTGTTCTTGCTCAGGCTGGTCTGGAACTCCTGACCTCAAGTAATCCTCCTGTCTTGGCTTCCCACAGTGCTAGGATTACAGGTGTGAGCCACAACATCTGGCTCAATGTGATGTTGAATTGGAATGGTAGTAGGGCATTCTGTTCAGTCTTTGTGGTGGTTTAAAAAAAAAAGTCCACAGATTTTTTTGAGACTACTCCGTTTATAACATGGAGTCAAAAATCCCCTTCCTTTAAGTGTGAATTCTATTTACTGATTTGCTTCTGCCTAAAGAATGTGGCCAAGGAGATAGTATGTGTTGTGC